TTCTTCTTCTTCTTCTTCTTCTTCTTCTTCTTCTTCTTCTTCTTCTTCTGATGATGATGAAAAACAATGAGAGTTCTTGATTTTGACAGTTATATTTTATCCCAAGTATTGTTAAGATAAAATAAGATATTACAAATCTTTTGTTATTTGTTCTAAAAATTATTTCTTTCTCTCATGTGATTAATATTACTATCAATAAATAGCATAAGGAAAGTTATTGATGTTTCTTCCACCAACAAAGTGATTAAATTAGCAGATCAGTGAAAGGCTGTGGACATAATATACTTAGATTTCAATAGGGCATTCAACAAAGTAGACCACAAGCTACTTCTTGATAAGGAAGAAAAATATGAGATAGACAACATAACCAACAAATTGGCTGACAAACCATACTCAACGAGTAGTCCTTAACGGCACTACATCTAGATGGAGGAAGCAGAAAGCAGTGGATTATGGCAAGGTTCCATCTTAGGCCCAGTACTCTTCAAGATTTTCATAAAAGATTTAGATGAGGGAACAGAATGAGAACTCATCCAATTTGTAGATGACAGGAAGCTGCAAACACTTTGGTATACAAGTTCAGGATCCAAAAAAACCAATTACTACCATCTGCCTTCCATCGAGGACCTGTATATACTGCACAAGTCAAAAAGAGAGCTGTAAAAATATTTACAGACCCCTCACATCCCGGACATAAACTGTCTCAACTCCTACTCTCAAAACGATGCTATAGAACACTGCACACCAGAACAACTAAACAGAAGGATAGTTTTTTTCCCAAATGCCATCACTCTGCTAAACAAATAATTCCCTCAACACTGTCCAACTGTTTACAAAGTCTGCATTACTATTACTATTAATCTTGTCATCACTTCTTATCACCCATCCCCTCCCACTTGTGACTGTATGATTGTAACTTTGTCACTTGTATTCTTACAATTTATTTCCTTGTATGATTTAATTCCTTATTGTACCCTATGAGAATTATTAAGTTTATTATTGACTTTGCTCATCAGAAAGTTGCAAAAGGGAACCACATATATCCTGGGACATTGCAACCATCATAAATATGAACCAGTTGCCAAGCATCCAAATTTTGATCACCTGCCTATGGGGGTGGTACAATACAGTGATTGTAAGTCATGTTGTTCAATGACGCTGTAATTTTGAATGCTCACTAAATGACTTGTTGTAAGTCAAGGACTACCTGTATGTTGTGTTTCAATATTGAAAGCTGGTGAGAGATCCAGCAGAGGCAGGATGAATCCCCCACCCTAGTTTAGGGTACACCAGAGTCAATTCTCAAGCACAATCAGTGTTTTCTCTGTGCTTTGGCTCAACATGAAACCCAGATATAACAGAATATAAGTGGTTCTGCCCGGTTCTGGCCTACTGATAGTGCCAAAGATCAGCTGGCAGAGAATCAGTTACACTCCGAATCTCTCCAATGCTCTGCAGTTGGGCTCACCCGCTTTCCCCTGCTCCTAGATCCTTTTAACTTCTCAGGTGTTTGGTGCAGCAGACCAGATTGCTTAGTTTTTACTGTTATTACGCATGTACATACATGCAAGTCACACAAGTCATGTGATCCCACCCCTACAGCCATATCCACCAAGCCACGCCCACAGAACTGGTGGTGGGAAATTTTGAATCCCACCACTGGACGAGATATTCTTCTCCCCCCAGAGTAAGTTTCTTGAATAATGGGAATAAAAAGTTTCATGAATTGTTATTTTGATGATTACATTAGAAATACATCCATAAATCAGGCAAAGTTTTTTTCTCATCAGGCACACTTGCAAATGAAGTCATATAGAGAATCAACTGTGATTCCCAAATCCCCTGTATAATTATCAAAATCACAATGATGACTTCATCTTCTACTAAAGCCTAGAGGACTTCTTTCACCCAAGGTTATTTTGAAACCAAGATAGGAATATTTAATAACCTCAATCAACAGAACTCGCAAATATTTAGTCATTCTTATAAAAATCTGAAGATCTCTGTGAGACTCCTGTAGGCACACTGGACAGGTCTGAATTTTAATGCTGTCCTTTTAATGTGCCGGACCACATTTCATCTTGCTAGAGCAAGTCAGTTTATCTCTGATCATTGGCAAGAGAATTGTGCTTCTCCTTAGACAGCCCCTGTCTCAGAAGATCTTCATTATGGTTTCTGAAATACTGCTTCTTCTTCTTCTTCTGGTGTCCCATTTTCCATGTGGGACACTGATGACCAAATGTTCATTAAATGTGCAGAAAGAAGGCAAACATAAATTGAATTACTACAAGCCAGGAGATTTCCTGATAAGTGGAATCATATCTACATCTAGCACTGCATTTAAACCATACATCTTCTTTACGCCTCCAAACCACAGATTTCAAAGGTAATTCCTGATGTGCACTTAATTGATTTTATCTTTTTTACTGTCTTCCTTTTAGTAGAGTTGATTAGCTGATATGAATGCTAACATTTTACATGTTTTAACTTTTAATATTGACATCTATGACATTAGCAGTCTACTATTAAAACTATCTAGAGTTTCCTATTGGGATAATTTTGAGTCTGAAGAAATGTATTGGAAAGAAAGTCCTCTGTAGTCAATAGGACTATCCTTCTAACAGCAACACCCAAAGGGGTCCATCATCTGGCATGGTCCTATAAATGATTAATACAATCCTCTGACTTTTTAAAAATTGAACAATAAATTTTTGAGAAAATTTTCCACATTATAATACGGGGAGTGAGAGCTTTTGGGCTGATCCCCTCCTGGTTTTCCATTTATGAGGTCACCTAGAATTCCATAGCTGTTTGTAAGTATGTGAAATTTCCAGGCTAGACTCATAAGACAGTAATCCAATTGATTAGTTATAAATGTCCCTAAAGGAACAGCTTCAGGAAATATGATGTGATTTTTATGAATTGAAGATGAAACCTCCATATCAGGATGAAAACCAACTGAAGTCCCTTATCTTGCAGTATACAGAGTATGAGCTTCTGGCACCTCCTGCCTTTCTTCTTTGCCATTCATGAGATCAACCGGAATCCAAGGCTGTTACCAAACCTCACCCTGGGCTACAGCATCTATGAGAACTTTTTTAATGCAAGGATAACATACGACGTCATGATGGATTTGCTTTCTACAGGACAGGAGAATGTCCCAAACTACAGTTGTGGAAGACAAAATAATCTGTTGGCTCTGCTTGAGGGAACTGATTCTGATCTCTTTAGTCAAATTTCCACCATGTTGAGCATCTACAAAATCCCACAAGTATGAATGAATCTTGAAGCTAATTTCATTTTTTAAAGTCTATTGATAATCCAAAAGGGGTCAGATAATAAACAAAATGAGTCAAATGACAAAGCTTAAAAGACACCTGAAATACTACATTTTCTTTTCTTTTTCATTCAAAATATCTTTATATCTTACAATTTTTTCCATATTAATAACATTAGGATGTATCAAGGGCTCCATTGTGGTAAGCCAGACTGGTATTTCAAGTAATGTTTTTCTTTAATTTTAAGGCATATTGATAACAATGTCAATTTCTAACACAATGTCCTTGAAAATAACTATGTATCTTATTCTTCCCATACCATAAAAAAGCATGCCAAACTCATTGAAGGCCATGCCCTTCTAAAGTTAATAGTCTTTTATGCCTCAGATCAGATCTATTCTTTCACCCATGTACAGTAAGTACCAAGACCTGGTAGTACAATTCCCAATTTGGCAGCCCAAAGCACCCTCTTTTTGGGGGAACCTTGCTTGCAACTTTTTCAAACCTATTCTTTTTTCCCTAACCAGATATATCTTAATGTTACTTTATTTAATTCCTCAAAATATTTTCCCCCCCCTCAATTTTATTGGAATTGTTTTGAATAAATATAATAACCTTGGTAGAATATTCACTTTATGGTAGCTATTCTTTCTGTTAATGACAGTTGCAAATCTTTCCATTTCTCCAAATCTAGTTTAATTTGTTACATCAGTTTCATATAATTGTCATCTTTAATTGTTGCACATTTTGCTGTTAGCTGTATTCCTAAGTACTTCACTTTTTTGTGAAGTACTAGCTGCATATCAATTCTTTCCATCAACACTTTTTTTGTGTGTTTCTGTGAGATTGTTAACTAAAATCTTTGTCTTCCTTTTGTTTCTTTTAAATCCAGCAACTTCCCTATGCTCTTCTATCTTTCTAATTAACTTCAGTCCAGTTTCTAATGGGTTTTCTAATATAAAGGCCAAGTCATCTGCATGCCCCGGTAGCTTGTATTTCTCTCTTTTTTATTTCCATTCCTTGTATTTCTTCATCTTGTTGAATATTTCTGGCTAATACTTCCAAAGTCAGCAGAGGGGACAGTTGGACATCTCCTCCTAGTGCCCTTTTTATATCAAAATTCTCTATCATGTCTCCATTTACCATCACCTTGGATGATTGTTTGTGATATATTGCTTTAATCATATTAATAAACCGATCCCCAAAGTCCACATACTTTAATTGTAATAGCATAAATTGCCAATTAATGTTATCAAACGCTTTCTGTGCATCTAGAAAAATCAATGCCATTTGTTTTCCAGGATGTGTTTCATAGTACTCAAGATCATTCTCATATTATTTTAATCTGTCTCTTTGGCAAGAATCCATTCTCATTTGGATGTATAAATTAATTAAAAAAACATTTTAATCTTTTGGCTATTATCAAAGAATATATTTTATAATCTGCTTTCAATAGAGATATTGGCCTATATCTTTATCTGCATTAAATCTGAGTAATCTTTCGGTATAAGAGTGATATTTGCATCCATTCGTGAGTTAGGTATTTTTGCTTCTAGCAGAACTTCATTATAAACTTCCAACATCATTGGGTCTAATATATTTTGTGACTTTTTATAAAATTCTGCCGAAACCCATCAGGTCCTGTGGTTTTATTCCTCTTTTGTCTCTTAATTGCTTCTATCAGTTCCATCATAATTATTCTTTCATTCAACATGACTTTAACTGTTCCAGATACTTTAGGGAGTTCAGATTGTTCCAAATATTGTTGCATTTTATTTTCTGGAATTTTCTCCTGATCATAAGTTTCCCATAATACTCTTTTATTATAATTTTTAATCCTCATTCTGATAATAAACAATCCCTTTCTCATCTATTTATCCATGTCTCATTTTTCCTCTCTCCTTTTTCAGTTTGTATGCCAGCCATCTTCCTGGTTTGTTTGCATTTTCAAAAAAGTTTTGTTTTGCATTTTTTGGGGGGTGCCAGTTCATCTTTTTCAAATAGATTCATTTCGTGTTTCATTAAATCCATTTGATTTTTTAATTTCTTTTGTTATGGTTCCTTCTGTAATTCCATTTCTAATCTTTTGTATTCTTCCTCTAGCATTTTCTTATTTTGTTTCTTCTTGTTATTTTTCTTCCCCATGTAAGTTATAGCTAATCTCTGGATATATGTTTTAATAGTATCCCATAACAGTTTGCAGTAAATTCTCTCCTTTCCTGTTCTCTTTGAAAAAAAGGGCCAATTCTTTTCCCATAGTTTCTATAAATTTTCTTTCTTTCTTTCTTTCTTTCTTTCTTTCTTTCTTTCTTTCTTTCTTTCTTTCTTTCTTTCTTTCTTTCTTTCTTTCTTTCTTTCTCTCTTTCTCTCTTTCTTTCTTTCTTTCTTTTATTTGGTTTGTCAATTGCTTACAAGATAATAGGTATAAGTAAAAACATAGTTATGAATACATGGATACAGATAAGAAGAATAAAAGAAACAATAGGACAGGGATGATAGGCATGTTGGTGCACTTAGGCATGTCCCCTACAGACCTCTTAGGAAAGGGATGAGATCAATAGTAGACAGTTTAAGGTTAAAGTTTTGGGGGTTTGGTGAAGAAACCATGAAGTCAGGTAGAGTATTCCAGACATTGACCACTCTGTTGCTGAAGTCGTATTTCCTGCAATCAAGTTTGGTGCAATTAACCTTGAGTTTGTATCTATTGTGTGCTCTTGTATTGTTATGGTTGAAGCTGAAGTATTCATTGACAGGTAGGACATGGCAATGTATAATTTTATATACTATACTTAGATCAGACCAAAGGTGGCATAGTTCTAGATTTTCTAGGGCTAGAATTTCAAGTCTGGTGGCATAAGGTATTCTGCAACGAGTAGAGGAGTGGAGAACTCTTCTTGTGAAATATTTCTGGACTTTCTCAACTGTGCTAATATCAGATATGTAATGTGGGTTCCAGACTATTGAGCTGTATTTGAGTATTGATCTAGCAAATATTTTGTATGCTCTAGTTAGTAGTGTAATATTACCAGAGAAAAAGCTACGTAAGATTTGGTTAACAACTCTTCATGCCTTTTTGGCTATGCAGTTACAATGGGGTCTAGCACTTAGATCATTAGAGATGAGTACTGCAAGATCCTTGACAGAGTTTTTTCTGATTTTTTTTTTTGCCAATATGTAAGACAGAGCATTTATTTGTTGAGATTTGAAGTTGCCATTTGTTTGACCATTCTGATACATAGTAAAGGTCTTTTTGAAGGGTAGCAGTATTGTCTGTGGTGTTGGATAACTTTACATCATCAGCAAAGAGAACACAGTTGCTCTTAATATGATCACAGAGATCATTTAAGTAGACTATGAAAAGAGTTGGTCCTAAAACACTGCCTTGGGGGACACCACTTTTGACAGGTACAGAATTTGATAGGATGCTCCCAATTTTGACCATTTGTTGTTTGTTTGACAGGAATGCTTCTATCCAGTTATGCAGGTGTTCAGAGATACCATAAGATTTTAGTTTTAGGAGTAGTCTGTCGTGTACCACTGAATCAAAGGCTTTATCTTGCAATATTGCTTGATTCAATGTCCATCTCAGTTTTCTTTTTTGTCCTTTCCATACAACTTTTATCAGATTGTAATCTGCCCATACATTAGGTTCTATTTCTATCTCTTGTACACAGGTTTTCAATTCTGAGGACATCCACACCATATCTATTCTAGACCAGGATTTAGGCCTATTTGAACAGAATGAATACTGATTTTTCTTGGGGTGCACTTCTCTCCATATACCTTGAATTCCTATTTTTTCTGTCATTTTAAAGAAGGATTTAAGGAGTGTTTTCCTCACTTTTTAAACCTGTTTTACTGCTCTCATAGTCAAGTTCTGCATCTACAATTGGATTGAAGTCTCCTACCACACAAATATTTTCATATTCCAATTTTATAATTTTCTTATGGAGTTTTCCACAAAACTCATCTTTTTTATTATTAGGTACATATATCGCTATTAACAACATCTGTTTTTGGTTCATTGTTACCTCCACCATTAATATTCTCCCATCTTCATCTGCAAAGTTTTGTCTGTCCTTTATTGTTTTTTTAATATATAGAACTACCCCTCTTTTCTTTTGCTGCGCTAGTGAAAAATAGAGTTTCCCAATTTTGGGGCATTCTAATAGTTTACTACAGTATATTGTTTTCTATCTCCTCTTGGAGATAGATTAAATCTAAATTAAAAAATTTTAATTCATTAAAAATCCTTTTCCTTTTCATAGATGAGTTCAGTCCATTTATGTTGATTGATAATAGTTTTGTTTCTTCTTCCATTGTTTACTTATAGATAAGTTTTGTTGTTCTTGTTGATCTTATTTCTCTCTGTTCTTTCTGTCTTGCTCCTTCTCATTACCTTCTCTCTTTTTGCTCTGCTTCAGTTTCTTCTTGTTGCATGCTTCCCTCTGCTATCACTTCCTCTTGTTTTTTGCAATCTATTTCCTCCCTTCTCTCATCTTCCTCGTATGCTGCAATGTGCTGATAATAGAATTCTTCTGCTTTATCTACATCCAAGTTACCAGCATTCCCTCTGGTATTAACCATCTGAAGTTTGTGTTTTATTAGTTGTCTTGTCAGAAATTGATACTGTTTCCTTGTATCTCTTACTTCTGGGTATTTGTTTCAGAACTACTATTTCTCTCCCTTTGTATTTCAATGGTGCGTTTCTTGCTCTTTGCAGTATTTCCACTCTTATTGCCTTCTTTGAAAATCTCACATGTATCTCTCTGGGAAGTTTGTTCTTTCTTGCATAGTTTGTATATATACTAAACATTTCATCAATCCCAGAGAGGACTTCCTATTTACTCTTTTCCAATGCATCTGCCAACAATTCTGCCATTTTTTCAGGAAGATCTTCTCCTTTTTCCTCCTCAATATTCTGAAATCTCAGGAAGTATACTGCTCTATCCATCTCAAAAATAATTATAGATAACTCAAGCTCCTTATCTACCATAGTCAATCTGTAATCCATGTCTTCTACTTTCTTATCTGTTTGCTCTGTCTTCTGTTTCATTTTTTGAATCTGTTGCTCATTTTTATGATTATTTGCTGGATGTGGTCTATTTTATCCTCCATCTTTTGGTTCATCTTTTGCATCCTATCTGCCAAATCATCATAATTTTTAGCAATGGCTTCTTGTAGTAGTTGGAACATGGTTTTCATCTCTGACTGAAAAGTATTTAATTTTTTGTTCTGGAACATAACATCAATAGAGTATCGACTCACTGGGCTCACTGCTGCTGCTGCTGCTGCCAGTGGTGGTGGTGGTGTACTTGATGCCTTTTTTCCTCCCTGTTTTACTTAAGTTTATATTGCTTGTCATTTTAATAATTTTAAGTAATAGAATATTTCAAGTAATAATTATTTGACAAAGGCAACCGATCAATTATCAAACAATCAATAATAAATCAAACAGTACAATACTCCATAATGCCCAACTTAAAGAATACACCTGAAGCAGTCCAACAATTTCCTTTCTTATTCCCAGTTCTTATTTTCAAACTTCAAATCACTTCACTCTTTTAGCTTTTGTGTTTCACAAAGACAAAATTTATCCATAGTCCTTGTTGAGGTAATTCCCTGTTAGGAGAATGAGCACACACAGGGAGACATAGTGAGAGTAGTGAAGAATAACACACAACCAGCACACAGATACACTGTATAGTAAAATGTAGGTTTTTACTTCCAGTAAAACAGTTAAGCAAAGTTCAGCAAACAGTCCAAGTCATTCATGGTTAAAGCAGTCAGTTTTTAGTCCAGGGATAATCCAATAACAAAGTCCAGTATCAAAAACAGTTCAGTAAAAGACTCACATCAAATCCAAGAATAACGATGATCAGTAGCAGTCAATAGGGAAATGCAGGAATGGCAACCGTCTCAGCAACAAGACTAAACAACCCAGGTTTCTGGCTCCATCTTATGGCTGTTTGAGGAACTACATCCAATTACAATTTTAGCATTCTAATTAAGGAGACAGTATTAAAATGTCTATCCTGGTTTATATATTTTCCAACCCAACTGTTAGGTGACTTACATTCCTAACAGTCCTAAGTTCTCTTCAAAAAGGTTGTTTTCTTTTTTAATATATTGTTATTATTATTACCTTTGTTGTCAGAGTACAGCATGTGTACAATGAGATTGGCTGAGCCTCCCTTCGTGCACCCCCCCACACACACACACAATTCACAGTGAGGACAGAAGTCCCTAACCCAGTCCCAATCTTATTACACTATGTGACCTTGTTGCACAATGCGCTGGCCCTGCAAGTCTATCATACTATGTTGTAATCCATAAAGGCCTCCAAACCCCAAGGCTGTATCAAACGAATTGTGAATCATCAAAAAGGAGAGCAGAAGGATAAGGAGCAGAAGGAGAACAGAAGTCTTCACTTGCTTTATAAACAACATCTTTTATTTTCCAGTGTCAGTTGCTCAGTTTATGAAATCCATATTCAGACAGAGAGCCACAATGCTTAAAACTTGCACGGTTTCCACTGTCTTTCACTGCAGTTTTCTCAGTCAACAATTCCCAGGGGCAGGCAGTTTATCTATGACTTGTAACAATGTTCTTTCAATAAACTGCCCAAGGTCAATTGTTACTCTCCCTTTCTTTTCTTCACTTTCACTATAATGTTTTTTTTTTCAGCCAGCAGATGTCACTGTTGTGTTATTTCTATTCCACTCTGCTCCTTTAACTTCCTTTAACATAAACTGAATCTTTTCCTTTTTAGGGGTTTCAGAGCCCAAGTTTTATATTCCCAAAAAACGTTTTTAGTTCAATAAAAATCCAATTAATGATGTCCTTAGAATAACCAGACAATTTTCCTCTTTTATCACTTATTTCTCTCAAATAGCTCAAATAGTTCAACTTTCTTATCCACATCTACTGAAGTATTATATTTTCATCTGGTATTCAAATATCTCTTTCTTCATTCAGACATCAGTGCATGTTTTGATTTTTTAAAAATATACTGGTTACACAGAGATTTTTCAACTGAAAGAACCCTCATCCATAGCTCAAATGAAGTGCTCTCAACTATACTGCACATGAAATTTACATCTGCTTTACCAACTCTTCTTCCCTTTTCTTACTGTTTTCTGATTACTGCAGTCACATGTCTTGGGAGACAAAAACATCTTTTCAACCTTACTCTAAACAAAATCCCCCCAAAATTCCAATGACTGTAATTGAAATAACCTAGGGAAATGTTAGTTTAAGAGGGTTTTTTTCCCTACTTAAAGACACTGAGAGTGTATCCAACAGACACATTTTTTCTCTGCTGAGTTCATGTGACATTCCATTTTCCTCAGTCCATGATCAAATCAAATCAATATCTTTTTTTAAAAAAGTCATTCACCAGGCATTACAACAAAAGAGTACAGCAAAACTGTGTAATACAGCAATTTGTTATTGGGAAAAGGAAAAGATTAGGGGTGTCAAACATGCATCCTCACGGCGGCATCCCATGACGTATCCGGACTTTCCCCTGCTTCTCTAAACTGGATGGGGCCAGCATGTGACACACTTGGCCTGTGGGCCATGAGTTTGACACCCCTGCCTTAGAGGTAAGCACTTATTTTTGTCCTTAAAAGCAAAGCAAAGCAACCAACCAACATTTTTTCTCTTACATCTTAGATCAACTATGGGGTCATCAGCCACATTCCAGAGCAGAAACACCATTTCCCTTTTTTCTACCGGGTGACTCCAAAGCAAGAACCCCCCCACTTGGCAATTGTAAAGCTTCTCCTGCATTTCCAATGGACATGGATCGGCCTTGCTGCTCCAGACAATGAAACTGGGGAAAAGTTTAGAAGAAACTTTGTGCCAGAAGCCATTAGGAAAGGTGTCTGTGTTGCCTTCTCAGAAAGGTTACCCAAGCTTCAGGACAAAAAGGCAAAAAAGCACTTCCTTCAATATTTTAGCAACACTAAAGCAAAATGTATTGTTTGTCAGTTGGATTCTGAGGCCACAATAACACTAGGAGTGCTAATACGAAGCATTGAAAAAATAATCCTGCTTGGGGGAAAAGTATGGATTGCTACAGCTTTGTCAGATATCAATGTGAGATTATTTTACCAGCTGGTTAATCTCCAGCATAACCATCTTTTATTATTCTTTTCAACTCAGATAAAGAAAAGGACACAATATTATGATTTTAATTCACATTACTCTGCTACAGGGAAGTTTGGGGAGGCAGCATATCAATGCTCCTATTCAATGCCCTTTTTGTCTAAGAAAGTTTGGAATACATGCCTGGAAAAGGAGAGCTGGGAAACCCCTCCCCAGGATCTGGTTGAAAGAATCCTGTCTGAGGATGGCTCCAGTATTTCTACATCAATCCAGGTTTTGGCCTGGGTCCTCCATGCTGCCTTTTCCTCCCAAAGGAGGAGGATGCATGTTGGGGACCATCAGAAACTCCAGATGGTACAGCCATGGCAGGTAATGTTTCTTCAAAAATATGCTGATGGTTCCCTTTCAATTCATTAGTCTTCAAATATTTTATTTGATTATAGTATAAAATACAAAAATGCAAAAGCAAATAGGAGAACACAGTAGGGAGGAGAAGGGTTTTTGTCTACCTCAAGCACAAAGTCCAGAAGCGGTCTCCATGTAGCAATAAACACATTGATATTCTTTTCTCTGCCAACTCCATCAACTTCAGTGGCCATTCACGTCCAGATTCCCTTTCAATTCTTAAATGTTGCATTAAAGATAAGCAAAGACAATGGGCGATAACCACAGGCAATAATTGCCTGTTTCTAATATTTGCTTTGACCAGATGAGGAGGTTAAGACAGAGAGAAAAAGAGAGGTTGTGTTATTGAATCTCTGGAGATTGTATTGCTGTGTGTGTGTTTATGTCTGTCTGTCTGTCTGTCTGTCTGTCTGTGTGTCAGAGAGAGAGAGAGAGGGAGAGAGAGAGAGAGAGAGAGAGAGAGAACAAAAAGTGGAAAGAGACTGGGAGAGACAGTGGGAATGGGAAAGAAAGGGACAGAGGAATTAGAGAGAGAAAAAAATTAATCTTCCTACCATATTTTCAGACAGAAGCACTGGGACAAAGTCGCGCTGTTTTGACGTAGGGTTGAAATGAGAATGTATATATTGCAAGTGTGATTCTCCCTATCTTTTTAGCTCCATCCTTTTCTAGGAAATTTCCAAACTTACAATCTTTCTGGGAATGAAGTTTATTTGAATGAGAAAAGAATCCGTACTGCCCATTTTGAAATCATGAACTGGGCAGAATTTCCCAACAAGACTGCTGCTGGGGTGATAATTGGGAAGATTGGAAAAGAAGAAGTCTCATCAGATATCAAGATCTCTGTCCACGAGAGTGCCATCATATGGCCAACGTCTTTTAACCAAGTAACCAAATCTGCCTCTTTGTGGGTTTTATTATTTATCTATTCCTACATATCCATGTGATTTTGAGGTTTTCAGTCTTTTCACTATGATGGAGGACAGTAAAAGGACAGTTGGTAAAAGGACAGTTGAAGGAGACATTAGTATTTCTCCTGGACCTCTCAAAAGATCTATTGCTTATGGTGGGAATACCAGCATTGTTCTGGGGTAGGATTCAAAACATGCTGTTGGCTAGCCCAAAGCTTCTTGTAGCATGCAAGGAAGCTAAGGAGGCTCATAAATAAAGGACTGATATTTGACTCTGAGAGATTTACTATAGGGCATCTTACTCAGTGGAATCCTTGGTGCTTTCTGAGCTTGGTTGTTGTTTGCTGGTATTCCATTGAATACTTATCCAACTACGTAACATCATCAATGCCTTTATATGCTTGATGATAGCTCTGATAATGGTATCTAGTCAAATAATGAAATGTTTGCAAGCAGACAACCAAACTCTGACACAATCAAGGCGTTTACAATTCAAACTTGAGTTACAGAAGAGATTCTCTTCTATTGAATCTTATTCAATGTTTGTTCACAACTGGAGTCTACTTTAAGAAATTGTGACCTAAGAAATACATATTACAAGAAGGCCTGTTGTAATATATGTTGTTCTAGCAATTGCTAAGATAAGAGCGAGCAACTCTGTGTTTTCCCTGCTTTGGACCACACTTTACACAGTTTTATATCATTGACCATTTGGCTGAATCTGATGGAATCTGAAGTCCAAATGCAGAAAAATCCAGAAGGATAATGATGTCTGGACTGGAGAACCATCAGCCTTTTCTGAACATTAAGGGGACTCTGAGACCATAGCCTGCTGAATTTTCACTGATTTTTCACTAAAACAAAATATTTCCATTTTGATTGGAAACAGACCTTGAAAGTATCTTCTTGAATTTATTTATTTATTTTTTTTATAATTTTTTTATATATAAATTTTATTGAATTTACAATTAAAAAATAACATAACAACATTACATATGCAACAGAGAGAGAAAAAGAAGAAAGAAAGAAGAGAAAGAGAGAGGAAAAGAAAAAAAAACGCTCGGTCTTGCGACCGAAAAAGAAGAAAAAGAAGTATAAAAGAGAGAAAAAAAACAAAGAGACGGAAGAAAAAAGAAAATACGTTAAAACCAAACAGATATTCTTTTTGACAGTCTGCAAGATCCAATTCTCCTACCTTACTTTAAATATACACATCTTATCACTATTTATGCTTAAATTACCCATTATTCATTGAACAGTTTATCTCTGATATAACCAATTATACCACGCATTCCAATTATTATCAAATGCTGAAGACTATTTTTAAGAGCTATGGTTAAATTGTCCATTTCTGTGCAGTCACATATTTTCTGAATGACCAATTGATCTGTAGGTAAACAGGATGATTTCCAGCACTGGGCAAATGCTAATCTGGCCGCAGTTAGAATATGAATTATTATATATTTCATCTTTTTAGGAAAATGTTTATCAGAGATCCCTAGTAGGAAGAACCCTGGTTTGTATTCAGTTTGTTCTTTGGTTATCTCCTCCAGCCATTTTCTAATTTTTTGCCAGTATTTCTGGGCTTCTTTATAGGTCCACCACATATGAAAGTAGGTTCCCTCTATGTTTTTACATTTCCAACATTTTGGACTAGAGTTTGGGTTCATTTTCGCTAACCTCGAAGGGGATAAGTGCCATCTATATAACATTTTATACATATTTTCTTTGTACGCCGCAGATTTCGTAATCTTAATGATTCTATTCCAGATCTTTTCCCATTCTGTTAATGTAATGCTTCTTCCAATATTCCTACTCCACATTATCATGTTCCCTTTCACTATCTCTTGCTCTAATTCTACCTCCAATAAATATTTATAAAATTTAGAGATATTCTTTTTATTTGATCCTAATAAGATTTTATCTAAGTGTTGTAATTTGCTATAGATTCCAAACTCTTTGATATCTTGTTTGTATCTACTATGGATTTGTATATATAACCACTGATCAATTTTAAATCCCTGTTCCTGTAAGTCCTGTCGAGTTCTTAATTTTCCTAAAGGGTCTAATAAATCTTTATATTTAGTCATTTTTGTTATATCCAAATTGTTGGGATGAACCATTGCCTCCATTGTTGAAAGCCAAATCGGAATTTTTAAATAATGTTTTTTACATATTTTTTTCCAATTAGTTAATAGTGAATCTCTAATAAGATGTCTATGAAAGTACGCCTGTTTAGTTTTCCCCACATCCCATAGAAATGCGTGCCATCCTCTCTGAAGGTCATGCCCTTCCAAGACTAGAGTTCTTTTGTTCTGTAAATTGACCCAGTCTTTTAACCATAATAAGTTGGCTGCCCAATAATATAATTCCCAGTTTGGAAGCGCTAGCCCACCTCTACTTTTTGCATCTTGTAAGGCCTTAATACTGATTCTAGCTTTTTTCCCTTGCCAAATAAATTTAAGAGTTACCTTATTTATATCATCCAAAAAAATTTTTGGTAATTTTATTGGGATTGTCTGGAATAAGTAAAGGAGTTTTGGTAAGATGTTCATTTTGATTGTGGCAATCCTGCCCAGTAGAGAAAGCTGCAACTTATTCCAAGATTCTAGATCTTTCTTAATTTGCTGTAACAGTTTATCATAATTATTCTCTTTGAGTGATTTACTATGTGGTGTTAACCATATGCCTAAATATTTGACCTTTTTTGTTGCCTGTATCCCCATGGTTTTTTCTAATTCTTTCCTCTGGTTCTCTGTTAGATTTTTAGTCAGTAATTTCGTCTTATTTCTGTTAATCTTTAATCCTGCTACTGAGCCATATTGTTCTAGTTCTTTTATTAGATTATGTCCTTTTTCCATGGGATCCTCTAGGAAGAAAACCATATCATCTGCAAACGCCTGTAATTTATATTCCTCTGCTTTGACCCTAACTCCTTGGATTTCAGAATTTTGTCTTATCCGCGTTAACAATGATTCTAAAGCAAATATAAATAAGAGGGGTGAGAGAGGGCAACCCTGTCTAACGCCCTTTTCAATGCTTAGTGGGCCTGTTTGTTCACCATTAATTAGTATATTGGCTTGTTGGGTATTGTAAATTGTTGTGATAATATTCTCGAATTTAGTGCCCAGATTCATGTTATAGATTTTTTGTATTAAAAAGTGCCAATGTAAGTTATCGAATGCTTTCTCCGCATCTAGAAACATGAGTGTAAATTGTTTCTCTGGATGAGCTTCATAATATTCTAAGACGTCAATAACGGTTCTTAAATTGTTTTTAATTTGGCGGAATGGAAGGAAACCATTTTGGTCTTCATGAATGTATAAATTTAAAACTTGTTTTACTCTATTCGCTATAATTGAGGTAAATAATTTATAATCGGCGTTTAAAAGTGAGATTGGTCTATAATTGTTGATATATCTGGCATCCACATCCTCCTTCGGAATTAACTCAATCAACGCCTCCCTCCATGAGTCTGGCATTTTGGCAGCCAAAAGTACTTCGTTAAACACTTCCAGCATCAGAGGCCCTACTAAATCTATTGTGGCTTTATACAATTCTACTGGAATCCCATCTGGACCAGGAGATTTATTATTACATTGATTTTCCATTGCAGATTTTAACTCAGACCATGTAATATCCTTATTTAGTAATTCTTTGTCTCCTTCCCCTATTGTTTTATCATTCGTATTCTCCAGATAAGTTCTTATTTTATCCTCATTGATTTCTTCTTTTTTATATAATATTTGAAAATAGTTTAATATAATATCCTTTTTCTTCTCAATCTCATGTTGTGGGATGCCTTTCTTGTCTATTAATTGGTGTATCAATCTCTTTTCTTTTTCTTTTTTAAGTTTATAAGATAGCCATCTTCCTGGTTTATTGGCGTGTTCAAAATAATTTTGTTTGGACCTTCTCAAGCTAACTTCTATTTTATCTTGTTCAATTAAATTCAGCTTATGTTTGGCTAGTATTAACTGATTTTGTAGTCCTTGGATCTTAGGGGTTTTTTGTAATTGTATTTCTAAGTCTTGGATTTGTTGTTGTAACACGTTTTGTTGGGCATAAATTCTCTTGTTTCTCATAGCATTATAGGAAATTGTTGTGCCTCTTATAATTGCTTTCATAGTATCCCAAATGTTCTGTTTTGAAGTTGTTTCATTATTATTATCTTTTAGAAAATAGTTTAGCTCCTCTTTCAGTTTATTAATATACTCTTCTTCGTTTACAATTTGGTTGTTTAGTGTCCATCTTTTTTTTATTCGTCTCCTATCTCTCCAAATTAGCTGTATTGGGTTATGATCAGCCCATTCATTCGGTAGGATTTTGATTTCTTTTATTTCATTAGCCAAGTCCAAATCCATCCAAGCCATATCTATTCTGGTCCAAGTCTTATGTGGGTTAGAATAGTATGTAAATTGTTTTCCTTCAAGATTCCGTTCCCTCCATAGATCTTTTAAATTTAGCTCTCTCAACATTTCCTTACATGCCGCAGAAAGTTCCCTTTTCCCCTTCTTGTTTTTCCCCATATTACTATGGTCTTTCTGGTAGTCTGCAATGGAGTTAAAATCGCCAATCAAGCAAATGTTTCTTTTTTCAAAGCCTACTATTTTTTGGTGAAGGTGTTTAAAAAATTTCCCCTGGTCATCATTTGGGGCATAGATTGCTACAAGTAAAAATGTGATGTGGTTTATCCAAACTTGTATAACCAGAGTTCTTCCTTCAGGATCCGACCAGATTAATTCTGCCTTTACATCTTGTTTTACATAAATTGCAATTCCTTTTTTCTTGTGTTTGTCGGCCGGTGCTGTAAAAAGTTTCACTAAAACAAAATATTTCCATTGTGATTGGAAACAGACCTTGAAAGTATCTTCTTGAATTTATGAACCCACTTGGGTGCTCCCTTCTGTTTTTAGAAGTAATCCCCTCATGCATATATTTCTCTGACTTTCTTTCTGTTTAGAAGGCCCCCTTTTCTAGATGTACTGAAAGTTGCCTCCCAGGATATACAAAGCTCTTGAGAGAAGGAGAACCAGTTTGTTGCTATGACTGTTCTCCATGCATGGAAGGAACCATCTCTGTGCAGAAAGGTAGGAAGTTCAAGAACAAAGAAGGAGCACCAGTCTATTATTTTAAGGGCAAAGTCAGGATTTCGGCAGTTACCCCAATTAAATCATGAGTCTCAAGCCAAACTTCCAAAACTTCAAAAGGATTTATATTAGCAATAACATAGCACTTAAAGACTTATGTACTGCTTCATAGTGATTTAAAAGTTTTCTAAACAGTTTACAGAGTCAGCATATTTCCCCCAACAATCGGAGTCTTCATTTTACCAGCCTCTGAAGGATGGAAGGCTTATTCAACCTTGAGCTGGTCAGAATAGAACTGCAGGCTGGGGGCAGAGTTAGCTTTGAATTCTGCATTCTAATCATTGCATCACCATGGCTCTGGTATTAACAAAATTTGATCTCATTTGCCGATATGGTACATTCAGACTCAGGAAGCAGTCTAAAAACACTTGGGTGAAGGTAGAATTCACCATAGTGGATTTTTCACAAGTTGCTGAAACAATAACAAGCAATTTGAAAAAGAGAGAGAGAGAGATCTTGAGAATAAAGAAAGCATTTGAAACATGGATAGAAACAAGGTTTATGACTAAAAACCATATATAATATTTTTTGAAATGCAACCGGGAGATGGAAAAAAGATAAACACTTGTATGTTATAATGGATGGAACAATTCAAAGACACAATCACATTACAAAAAATAGAAGAGTTTTCAAAAAGAAAAATACAGAAAAATTCACTCCAGTTATTATTTAAGGAGAAATTGCTGCAAAATTGTTTTATAGGTGTTCCATAACTACATCAGCAATAGCAAAATATATAAAACATATAACCATATTGGAAAAGCCATGACAAGATGCAACACTTTATCATCTGTAGTGGTTATGCAAAAACAACAACAACAAAACCCTAAATCATTGGGCTGAAATACATCAAATTATTCAGAAAAACCCTATACAAAAATGAATTGAAATCACACATTTTCTTTTATAGGTATACTTTCAAAAAGCAAAACCCCATAATGTACTAAGAGGTTTGTTCTGACAGCTGCAAGAACTAATTTGTCAAGACTATTGGAAAATAGGTATTTTGTCAGTGATGTCAGATTGGGTAGTCAATTTACAGAATATGCAGCATCCCACAATTGACATTATCTACAGCAATGTTCCTCCATCACAGTATCTGTGATGAAATTTAACTAAATTTAAAAAAGAATGGCTCTCTGTATATGGAATGGCTTGCACAGCAGGATGTATTTAGACCTTTGGAACATGATTTTAGCCTGGAAGTTGTGAGATTAAGGCTTGCCCTCAGAAGTTGTGGGAGTGTCATCACTTGAGACTTTCAAGAAGAGATTAGACTGCCATTTGTCAAAAATGGTGTAGGGTCTCCCGCTTGAGCTGGGGGTTGGACTAGATGACCTACAAGGTGCTTTTCAAATCTGATTATCTGTTAAAACTGGTTTAAATAAAGATGCTAGCAAGAATCTTTATAAAATAAAACACGCAAAAACAAATAGAATAAGTTTGTGGAGGAAAAGGGTTGTGTGTGCACTCATGTATTTTACGCACAGCTTGATGAAGTAAACAAAAGGGAAGAGAGGAATGTTTTCCATAACCATAATTTTCTACCTTATCCATTCTTAGTAATTATTACTTTCTGAGGTATTTAATTGTCATTATCGAATGCAGACTAACTTTCATTATTCTAAAAATATCATTTTTAAAAAAGGAAGAGTTTAAAAAAATCTTCATTTCTCTACCTACATCCTGCTTCTGGTCAGTTGGTCATGATGCGCTGAATATCACTGAATCACTTGTTAAAAAACAATATTTTGTGTTTTCCAGATGTAGCCCATTGTGAAAAATGTTCAAATGACCACTACTCCAACAAGAAGCGGGATCGTTGTGTCCCCAAAGTTATGACTTTTCTGTCCTACAGAGAAAACTTAGGTTTCATACTGGCTATCTCTGCCCTTTTTTTATCTCTCACTACTGCTTTAGTTCTAGGAATTTTTATTAAATATCGAGAAACTCCCCTAGTCAAAGCCAACAACCGTGATCTCACTTACATTCTGTTATTCTTTCTCCTGCTTTCCTTCTTGACTTCCCTTCTATTCATTGGTCAACCCCAGAAAGTGACTTGCCTCCTTCGACAAACTGCCTTCAGTGTTGTTTTCTCTGTTGCAGTGTCTTCCTTGCTGGCCAAGACTGTCATGGTTGTGGTGGCATTTCTGGCCACAAAGCCAGGCAGCAGAATGAGGAAATGGCTGGGGAAATCTTTGGCTAATTTCATCATCTTCTCCTGCTCTGGTGTTCAGGTGGCCATCTGTTTCATATGGCTGGGAATCTTTCCCCCATTCCCAGATTCTGACTTATATTTCCAAAAAGAACAGATCCTCCTGCAATGCAATGAAGGTTCAGTCACCATGTTTTATTCTGCCCTTGGCTACTTGGGCTTCCTGGCTGCCGTCTGCTTCTTGGTGGCTTTCCTAGCTCGAAAATTGCCTGCAACCTTTAATGAAGCCAAGTTGATCACCTTCAGCATGCTGGTGTTCTGCAGTGTTTGGGTTTCTTTTGTCCCCACCTACCTGAGCACCAAAGGGAAATACATGGTGGCCGTGCAGATCTTCTCTATCCTGACCTCCAGCCTGGGCTTACTCGGCTGCATCTTCATCCCCAAATGTTACATCATCATTCTGAGACCTGACATGAATATGAGGGAGCATCTAATGATAAAAAACTATTAGAGTTTTTGATTTTGGCAGTTATTTTTTATCCCTATTATTGCTAGGATAAAATAAGCCATTGCAAATCTTTTGTTATTCATTATAAAAAAATTTTTCTCTCTCATGTGATTAATATTACTATCAATAAATAGCATAAGGAAAGTTATTGATGTTTCTTCCACAAGCAAAGTGATTAAATTAGTAGATCAGTGAAAGGCTGTGGACACAATATAATTTGGATTTCAATAAGGCATTTGACAAAGTAGACCACAAGCTACTTCTTGGTAAGCTAGAAAAATATGAGGTAGAAAACATAACCAACAGATTGGCTGACAAACCATACTCCATGAATAGGCCTTAATGGTACTACATCTACATGGAGGGAAGTAAGCAATGGATTATGACAATGTTCCATCTTAGGCCCAGTATTCTTCAATATTTTCATAAAAGATTTAGAAGAGGGAACAAAAGGAGAACTCATCACATTTGCAGATGACAGAAAGATGCCAACATCTTGGAAGACAAGTTTGGGATCCAAAAGGATATTGACAGACTTGAACAATAGACCCTATCCTACAAAATAAAATTTAATGTGGAGAAAAGCAAGGTTTTAGGCAAGAAAAACCAAAATTACAAATACAGACTTGTACCTGGCTCAAAATCAGTAACTTTGAGAGGGATCTTAAATATGAACCAATAATGTGTGTCATCAGCCAAATAAGCTAATATAAACTTTGTTTGCATAAACAGAGGCATAGAATCAAAATCACATGAAGTATTAATACCACTTTATGAAAATTTAGCAAGACCAAACTTGGAATACTGCATCCAGTTTTGGTTACCACATTACAAAAAAAGATGCTGAGACTTTGGAAAAAATGGAAAGAAAAGCAACTAAGATGATTAAGGGCCTGGAGACAAAAAGATATGAAGAACAGTTTGTAGAATTTGGCTTGGCTAGTCTAGAGAAAAGAAGGACTAGGGGGGACAAGAAAGTGGTATTCAAGTATTTGAGGGACTGCCACAAAGACAAGGCTGTCAACTTATTTTTCAAAGCACCAGAAGACAAGATAAGAAACAATGGATGGAAAATAATCAAGGAGAGAAGCAAACTGCTATTAAGGAGAAACATTCTAGCAGTGAGAACAATAAACCAGTGGAACAGCTTGCCTTCAGAAGTTGTGGGAGCTCATAACTTGAGACTTTCAACAAGAGATTGGACTACCAGGAGAGAGCGGAGCTGGCATCACGACGATACGGCATGCGATCTTGGAGGTCTGAGATCACTGCCGATATCTTTGCTCCTGGACAGTCCTATCGGATCTAAACCATCCCAAAGAGATGGTGAAAGTGAAGGGCATATCCTGTTGATCCCAGGGATACTAAAAAGTCCCTGGTAGATCCAGGAGAAGCTCTTCTTGTCAGCGGCAAAGAGGCAGCCATTAAAGCTGCTGAAGTTGGGACAACTCCAAAATGAAAGAGAACAGAAAGAGAGAGTATGCCGGTTTGGTGAGAACTTTTTCTTTATTCTAATATCTCAAAGGACACCCTAAGGAAAAGAAAGAATCTGTAAAAGTTTTGACAGAAGTGATTAAGCGGCGATTTTAAACAGGAATGTCAAAGTAATGTGTTTTTCTCATTGTTGGATTTTCTATACATGATCTTATATTTTGAAACTGGGCTGGGTTTTTTTTCCATCTATTTTTTTTTCTCCTTTTTGATTTTGTAACATTTTAGGATAGAGACTCCCTTTTAGTTATTTCTTTTTTTAAAATATCTTTTTTTAAATTAATTCTTATTATATTTTGCTTGGAAAAGAAGAGGGAAAGTGAAAGCAAAGAAACTTTGTAACACTGCCAACTAGAGGCTTGGAAATATTCTATTCCTCCTGTGACCAGACAAAGCTGAGAAAGAAAGAACTGAGACTTTTTTTCAAGGACATTGCTATTTGATAAGATAGAGGGAAGAGCATGGGAGAGTATTATTGCAGGTGCTCTTCTGGGTTTTTATCAACAGCTGGAGTCTGTTGTTGAAACCTAGGGGAAAAAAGGTGATAAGTTTTTGGAGAAGAGAGTTATAATAAGACCCTTGGATAATTAAACAAAGTGCAGTGTGCTCTTTTTACTTTTTCTAAGTTGTGCTATCCCTCCTCACCAGCTTTATTTTATTTCATTTTTTTTTTTGCAATAGCTATTTGGATCTTTGGCTTTGTTGGAGCTTGTCTTTGTTTTTCTTTTTTTTCTTTGGAAGTCCAATCTTCCTTTTGCTTTTTAAAATAAAAAGCTTGCTTTTTATTTTAAAGGGAAAGCTTTCATATTAATGTTTCCCCTTTTTTAAGGGAATAGCCTTTTTTTCTCCTTTCCTGATATTTTTGTTTTTTCATCTACCTTTCTGGTTTATTTTTATGCACTCTTTTCTATTTGAGACCTCTCAATTGGATTAAGGTGTTGAAGAACTTGAAGAATTTTTCCTTTTCCTTTTTATTTCAAGCCTTTTTCTTCATCTAACTACTGATTGGATTAAGGTATACAAGAACCTGAAGAAATTTTGTCCTCCCTTTTTTTTAATCATTACTATTTGGCTTCTTTTTTCTACTATTTTTATTTTGAACTACAATTGGTTATTTCACAATTGGATTCAGGTTTAGAAGAACCTGAAGATTTTGAATTGCTTAAAATGAGTAGGAAATTTACAGCTCCTGGTTCTTCAACTTCTACTTCTTCCTCTCCACCATCTGGAGGACAACGTTCAATACAGACAATGTTAAAGCAAGAAAAAGAACAAGAAAAAGTGACTCTGCAGATGATTATGCAAGGAATTCAAAATATTCAAGCAAGATCAGAGAATATTGAACAGAGAATAGAGAACATTGAACAAAGAACAGAGAACATTGAACAAAGAACAGAGAACATTGAACAAAGAACAGGAAAAAATGATGAAAAAGTGGAGAACATCCAACAAATGATGTTGACGTATGATGAGAGATTCCCAAAAATTGAAGAAGATAAACAAAGAGACAAGAAGATTGGATATATTGATAATAGATTAATGATGGTTCAATAAGATAAAAGTGGTATGTTGAGATGGGAGATGGATAGATCAGAATTCTATCTTAGATTCCAAAACGTAGAGAAAGAAAAAGGACAAAACTTAGCTGAGATAATGATAGAAATACTGGCTGAAGCTTTGGAAATAACTCAAGAGAAGATGATGGATGGAATAGATGAGGTTTATTGAGTTTTCATAAGATATGCAATGAGAAATAGCTTACCAAGAGAAATTCACATTAGATTTACAAAGAAAGCCATGAAAACGCAAATATTGCAAGTGGCAAAAGAGAAAACATTGAAATATAAAGACAAGGAGATTGTGGTCTTGAAACAAATACCCAGAAGAGTGAGAGAGATGAGAAGAGAATACCAATTCCTGACTAAAATGTTACTTAAAAAAGAGATGAATTATAGATAGCTGATTCCAGAAGGTTTAATGTTCACATGGCAAGAACAGAGATATAGAATTGACTCAATTGAGAAAGCGGAATTATTTTATTCAGAATTTTTTGGAGGGAAAGAGGAAGAGGCAGAAAAAGAAATCTCACTAATTGAATTCCAAGAGGACTGCCAAATGGCGATTGAAAAAGAATAAGGTGCAGTAGGTGGAAAGGTGGAAGCCAAAGAACAATGGAACTAAGGGAACTAAGATCTACTAGAGCTGCTAAACCTAACTACAAACTATAACCATGGAAGAGAAAAAACTGATTACAATTAATATAAATGGACTTAACTCAGCTGTTAAAAGAAGGAAATTTTTCCATAAATTCGAGAAATTAAAATTTGATATAATTTGTCTACAAGAAGTACATATTAAAAAACAATATGAACAATTGTTGATACAGCCAAAACTAGGGAAAATATTTACTTCCTTGACACAGTGTAAGAAAAGAGGACTCGTTTTATATATTAAAGAGACCATCCCAGCAAAATTGATTTATACCGATGATGACAGAAGAATACTAATATGAAAACACTCCTGATTACAATCTATGCCCCGAATGACAAACAAGAAGAATTCTACAAAAAATTACATATGAAAATAATTGAACAGGACTATGCTGATATAGTTATGATGGGAGATTTTAATGGAATTGTAGACAATAAATTGGACTATATAGCACAGAAAACAATAAAGCAAAACAGAAAGACTCTCCCTAAATCTTTTTTTAAAATTGTAGATGAAATAAACTTAAAAGATACATGGAGAGAACGAAATGCTAAAACTAAACAATACACCTTCTATCCAAATAGACAATTATCATGGTCCAGAATAGATATGATATGGGTGTCAACAGAATTAATAACTAATATTCAAGAAATAAATATTGAAACAAGTACTTGGCCAGATCACAATCCAATGACAATTAAATGGAAAGGACAAAAAAGAAGATCTAGATGGATGTTAAATAATACTATTTTAAAGGAAAAAGACTTCACACAGTGGATGGAGAAAGAATTGGCTTTTTTCTTTAGTGAAAACAAAAAAGAAGATCCATCAATTCAGAATGTATGGGATACAATGAAGGCATATGTTAGAGGCTTGATAATAGACTATACAAGGAAAAGAAATACTATGAAAAGATTAGCCTCTAAGGCCTTAGAGTATAAGTATAAGTATAAAAGATGAGTATAAAAGACTTGAAAAAGAGCTACAGAAAATGCCACAGAAAAAGGACATTAAGTTAAAAATTGATATAATCAAACAAAAAATGGGTCAAATAGAAAAAGAAGAATTAGCACAGAAAATTAGAGGTGCTAAACAGAACTACTTTGAAGATGCAAACAAACCAGGTAGATGGTTAGCATACAAATTGAGAAAGGGGAAAGAATCAAGGAAAATATTGCAATTAACAGATGACCAAGGCCAAGTTTGCTATGGTAGTAAAGAGAAGAAGGAAATCATTCGAGACTTCTATGGGAAACTATATATGCAAGAGAATATTGATGAGGAAAGAGTTAAACAGTACT